AAAAAAAAAAAAAACAAGAAATATGGGTCCGTCGATCATGGGCAGCTTTGTAGGGCTGTCAGATGGGTCCGACGGCCCTGTATTAGAAGTTAACTAGACTTTAACTTTTTACCTATGAATATTTGTTAGTCCTATTAAATGTAAACCGAATATTTGTAAAAAAAATTCAAAAAATTTTATTGATTAAAATCATTTGTGTGCTAAAAATATTTTTTCTTTTATATTTAATATAAAAATACTTTTGTTATTAAATTTAATAAATATATATATATATGTATATTGTTTATTATTATACATATAATTATGTCTCATTTTACTCACAGCTCATAACTCTAAAGATCATCTTATGGTCTTACTCTTTAAACCTTAATGACCTTTAAAGGTTTGCTTATCTATACCTCTCCACTACATAAATCCATTCTATGAATCAAGATGATCTTTAAAGATTTTCAAGCTCATATTTCTTAAGTCACCCCAATTACTGCCTTACTATACGATTCTCATAACTGAAAGTAAGTCTCAACGACTTTCAGATTCAAAGTTCTCAGTTTTCCTTCTATCTTATTCTGTTTAGCTGTCTCTGTCAAATTTTTGTGTAGGTAAATAATATTCAGATTTAATTTCAGAGATTCTAGTGGTTTTTTTTTTCGAGAAACTAACCTTGAAAGAATTGTGAATGCATATTCACAAAGGAAGTGAAGAAGATATAGAGCTGATTAGTTATTGTCTTCGAGTATACTATATACTGGTAAGGTTTTATAATGACATACATATATAGGTTTTTTTCAGGACTTCTTTTAAATACATTAATAAATGCCTGAGCCTGCTTCGATTTGTTCTACCTCCAAAGTTCGACTCAATATTCAAAAATGAAAATGACTGAAGGACAGCAGCAACTAAATTTGTTAGCCTTTCTGCTAAAGTCTCAAAGTCAGTCACACAATACCCACCTCTCTCTCTCCCTCTCTCTCTCTCTCTTACTCTCTCACTTTCTCCCACCCACACACCTTGGGCAACTGTGGACAGCTCTCGAGTCGAGCTTGTTTATCTTTTACGACTTGCCTAAATCTCCATCCTTAAGTTTGACCAACCGCCCAGCGTCGGTCGCACAATTAAAATAATGGTCCCGCGGGCGCCCGTTGGCCAACAAGCGTATCGCATTCGGGCGCTGGCAAAGGCAGACCCGTTAAGCGTGCTGCCAAGCAAAAGTTGTTGGCCACAATTTTAATTTTAATTTTAATTGCAATGCACGCGCTTCGCAGTTTATGTAAAGTTGTTTTGGCCGTAATTAATAGAGTGTCATATTTATGAGGCAGCCGGGCTTAGGGCGTCTCACATGTGATTGCGCTGTGTCACAAGTGTTCCAGGCCGGCACTTCTGGCCCCACCTGCTCCTGCTGCTACCTTTGCCTGCCCAATAATTGGCTGCTGAGCATTAGAGAAAAGTAAATTATTGATAGCTTATAGCGAGCGAGCGAGCGAGAGAGAGAGAAAGAGAGAGATAGAGAGAGACCTGAGGCTGATGCCAAGAAAAACGTAAATTCATTTTTAAATATGACAAAACAACGTAGCAATGAGGCGTGGCAGCAGTGCGGGCGAGGCAGGGCGGGGCGGTGCGGCCCCTCGGTAATGTTAAACGGGCAAAAGGACAAGCTGTCGTTCGGGCTCGGGACTCTCGGCTCTGGGCTCTGGGCTCTGGGTTGGCGTCAGTCATTTATGACGAAGCAATGTGCTTGTAATAGTACTCGTACTAATGAGCCACACACACACACACACGCACACACAGACAGACGCGCAGTCAAGGAGTGCAAAAAGTAGAGCACAAGCACAGACTTCACTCACAAGGCCATACTTTGCGCACTGTGGCACAAAAACGTTATTAAAGCGATCAAATTATACAAGTTATTTGATGATATGTCTATTGGTTTCAGCTACTGTTACTCGATATTGAATATAAACAAACAATAACTGTTATACTCAGGAAAAGCCTGAAATAGAGCGCAGCCAACTTAACTAGCCTGCTTTAGATATGTTTGCAGATGAATATCGAAATGTTAAATGTTAATATTTACGACATAACATTTAATTATTTATCGATTATGCACTCTTATTTAGAATAATTCCTATATATATTTTTAAAGAGTAAGTTTGAATTGGAAACTGATTATTTGGAGTTGAGTGAGTGCGCTCGTTTAAGACTCGGACGCAGAACATTCCAGCGAGAGCAAACCGAATGGAATGAGTGAGACTACGAGTGCAGGAGAGGTTGCATTTCGAATGCAGTCGAGTTAGCGGTTAATGTTCTCTACTGAGCAAGGGGAGCCCCACTTATTACAATTCACTTCGGCTTTTTGGCTTCCGCTTTGTTTTCGCCCATTTCTTAGTATTTCGATGACTTTCGGCTTTACCAAATATTTCATTCCATATTATGTTTTATTTTTAACTCATTTTCGTTACAATTCGAGCTCAGTCAATTTGACATCGGCTGTGAGTGAAACCATGCAGATTTCTAGTATATATACATATACAGTCGAGTCTTGTTAATTCGTACCCCTCTAAATCGAAAATCGCAATCAATCGAAAAAAAATTCGATCCAATTGAAAGAAATTCCCAATTCTCAATGATTCTCGATAATTTGAATTGCTGTGAAAATCGAAAAAACTCTGATCCCCTTGCCATTTCGGGACTCTACTGAATATATTTTTGACCAGTCGCTGTAGCTATGTGGCCCATGGTCGTTGGGTTGCTTACTTTATTGGGTTGCATGGGCGAATGGTGGAATGGTAGTAGCTTTTGCGTATGAACATTCGAGCACATTCGTTTCAAATTATTTGCGCATTCGAGCAGCTGTAAACGATTACGTACACAAGCACACACACACACACGCATAGGGAGGGGACTGTGCGCTTCGGGACGATACAAATACTTATCAGTCCTTATGCGTGTGTGTGTGTGCGCGCGGGTTGTTGCCAAAATGTTGCCAATTGCCTGGACCCCGTTTGTGTTGCACATGTCCAAAGTCTGCGCCCTGCCTGCCACATTATTGAGCCGTCTATGCAACACATTGCCCCACACTTTGGGCAGCCGGTGGCCCCAGCTTGGCATTTTCCCTCTCTCCTCCCCTACATATATATTTTTTTTTTGGCTGTTTGGTGCTTAAGTTCGACAACTCAATAAAATGTGCTTTATGGCAAAAAAAAAAAAAAAAAAATGAGAGAATCGAGTGAAAAAAAATGAAAACAAAAACAGAAGAAAAGCAAAAGGCAGACACGGGCACAACCCATTCCAGGGGCTAAAAGTAAATGTTTGTTGATACTCCGAAAGGTCCTTTCGCTGGCTTCCTGCGCGCACAGCAGCTGGTTCCACGGTTTCCGCCCCGGCGTGGTCTGGCCTCGCTTTGGCACTGCTTTGCCACCGGGTCTGGTTATGTTTTCCTTACCACTTGCTCCAAAGAACTCGACTCCCTAGCAATTGATTTGCCATAATTTAAGTTTCTCTTTTTTTGTTTTTGTGTATGTGTGTGTGTGTGTGTGTGTGTGTTTTTTTTTTTTTTTTTTTGCCCAAATGCCGCACGTTCTGGTGAGCCGATGCCAAGGCTATGGCGACGCTTTGTTTCTACTTACTTATAAATGAGAAAATCGTTTTATGATAACGGCTACAACAGGAGTAGAACGAGCCACCAGGCACGAGGCTGGGCCCACGGGGCATCTGGTTTCCGTATATTTCAAATTCTATTTTCAATATTAAAGTGTTTCTATGACTTGGTTAAATATTTTTGATTTGTGTTCCATTTTTGATTGAATTTTGTATTATATTAAATTAAAAATAATTAAATATGTATGGAAAATTTAATATTTATTATTATATAAACGGGGTTGACCAAGTAAAATATACTAGCTTTCTATATGCTTGCTTAATGTTGGTTAAAATATTTATGAATAATTATACAATTAAATCGTAAATAATTATATGCAAAATATTTTGATTTTTATTATTATTATTTTAATTGTTATTAGGATAATATAAGTAATATAAAATTTTATTAAAATAAATTAACTTCTTAAAAATAGTAAAAATATAGTAAATGTTATCAATATAGTATAATAAATATAAATATAATTCATTTAAATTATAATAATAAACACAGTAAATATTTTTAATATAATATAAAAAACATAAATATAATATATATAAATTTTAATTATAATATTACATATAGAAAATATGCTAAATGTTATTAATATAATATAAATAATATAAATATAAATAATTTATATTATAATATTAAATATACATAGTATATAATTAATGAATTCCTCTTATTATTATTATTTTTTTGCAAATATCGTCTCCTGAGCTATAACTACGCAGCCTCTCGATTGCTGTCTCTAATTTTTGTGCTCATTCGATTTTTTTTTTTTTTTTTTTGTATATTTATTTTAAGCGCTGAATCTGTACAATGCAAGTTTAGTACCTTAACAACACAATTAGATATTTATATAGAACCTAACCTTCTGATGTATTCAGGAGGACTTACAAATATATATTTACATTCATTCGATATCTCTGGCTTCAACATAACAAACGCTTCATATTTCAATTGAACAGAAATTGCTGCCTACTTTCAGGCGCAGACAAAAAAGTTTTCTCTTGTTCCCCTTTTCTTCCTTTTAATTTTAATTTGTATTTTTTAGTAACACGTTTAGTGGCAGCATAATCTAGCTCTACATATTATATATATACATATATACATATTATACATATATTAATAACAAAAATCTAAGATGATTTATACTTAGATTTCATATATATTAATATTGCTATTCTTACATTTACTGCATTTTTTTTTTGTATATTTAGGTATTGGATAATTCTTTTTTGGGGAGATCTGAAGGGTTGCACTTTTTGAGGCGTCTTTTTCTCGGCTTGGCAGTTCGCAAACTTGTATGGTTGCCAAGCCGTTTAGAGTACCTTGCAGCATATTATTGTAGGACATCTCATCTCATTTAAATTTCAAACGTCAAACGTCAAAGCCCCATACGAGTTTTCATTCAGCTCGCATTTGGTTGAAGTAAATCGTTCGATTAGTTTGCTTTAAAATTGCTAAAAAAAAAGAAGAAATTTTCGATTTTAATTCCGTTGCATATTTAAGCTGCTCGCGGTTTCACACACACACACACACACACACACACATAGTTTTGTAGTTCTTTTCGATTTGAGTTTGTTAAATCGCGCTGACACAGCACAGCTGTCAAGCTGTGCAAACTATGCAAATCTGTTGTGGCAAACCGGCAACTGAATAAAGCTTCTCGAGCATCCCAGCTATCCCGGGCATGGTAAGCGGCTGAAGTAGTGGAGCCGCGCGTAATTAAGGATTCGTGAATACTTTTGGTGTGATAAGCGCTCGAACAGTGCTTCGGACACGTCTGTGTGAGTATGACTAGAGCAGAGTCTGTGGACCCAATGTGTGTGAGTGTGACTGTATGTGTGTGTGTGTGACGCACAAAGGTGCGAAAGAAAACTTTCAACTTTTGCTACTTTCGCTTTGCGATAAGAAAACTTGCAACGCGTTGTTGAACTTGCACTTAGACGTCACGTTTGCGTTCACCTTCGCCAAATACAACGTATATATATATATATATATATATATGTATGTGTGGCTGTTGCTGTGGCTCGAGCTCGCCTTGGACGTCGCGACGCATCACTTAAAGTCAACGGCTGCGACGTTGTTGGCAATTAATCAAAAGGTGCGTGATTATCGCACGCTGGCCGACAAGGATAACACCACGAGTGTGTGTGTGTGTGTGTGTGAATGTGTTTGTATTTATGTATTTGTGTAACTGTGCGTGCGTTGCGATGCTCAAGTGCAAAGAAAGCAAATATTAAAACATATTTTAATCTAGCAAATGCAATGACATCTCTCTCGCTCACACACACACACACACACACACAGTCAGTTTTTCTATGTGTGCTGCTGGTAAATAATAAATTTATCATTTGTCAGCAGTTAAATGCTTTGGCGTAACGTGCACAGAGCAGAGCATACGGAGGACCCGAGCGACGAATTAATAATTCATTGCGTATACGACGCGTTTGCCCACTAGACACAGCAAACTGTCATACGAATATGACACAAGCGTACACACACGCACACACACGCACACACACGCGCACACACGCACACACACACATGTACACACACATATAGAGAGTCGCAATAAATCGTCAAGTTTATGTTTGAAGTGTTTATTGAATCCATGATATTCGACGCACAGCCGCCTGCACGTTCCTGTGCGTCCTTTTGGCCATCGAGCAGTCATTTTGTCATTTGTGCAAATATTTGGCCAACGTTCGTTGTTGTTGTCCAGATGGATTGGACCGGACTTTCGAAGCGCCTCCTCGCCCCCTCACCCCCTCACTAGCGACACTGCTGTTTGCTTTTTATAGGCCTGTTAGCCACTGGCTGACATAAATGTCTTGCCGCCTCGTGTTATTTTTTGTAAATCCTTTCAACGTGTCGTCGAAATGTCGGAAATGTTAAAATATTTGCACAGCCTGCCGGCAAACGGTTATGGCCATTGCCATTGCCATTGCCATTGCCCAGCAGCCAAACGGAAGCCGCTTGCCGCTTGCCACTTGCCACTTGCCACCTGCCACCCACACACACACACAGACACACACACGCATGGGGATTTGTTTGGTATTGGGGCGTGCGTGCGTGCGTGGCGGCCCAAACGTAGCGCATTCTCAGCTACAGTGATATGTCTTGCACAAATATTGATATAAGTACTTCATACAGCTATAACATATAGGACAGACAGACAGACAGACAGACAGACGGAGTGATAGACGGACAGACGGACGGATGCTGCTTAAGTGTCACGGTTATTGTTTGCCCAAGCAAGTGATTGCTGTTTTATACCTTTACCTATCTCATATTCTCTCTCTCTCTCTCTCTTGCTGTCTCTATATCTATCTCTCTCTCTCTCTCCTTATATTACATTCATGGCAGCAACAGTTAACAAATGAATTGGTCGAGTATTCTATTTGTATATGTGCAAGACTTGCTGAAACTGAAGCATACGAATTTCTATCTATCTATAAATATTCTGTATATGAGAGGAGAGCTGTTAGAAGGGGAATGTATTAGTATTAGTGCTGGAGTGCCACTGCCAGAGCTAGAATTTGTCATATCATAATCGATATATGCTTAACATGAAATCCTTTATTACCTTCTGCCTTAAATGTTAAATTTTCGCTCAGTGCAGCCGCGTGGACTCTATAAATCGGCAGCTGGTTGTAGTTGCAGCTAGGCGCTTTCGCTTTCGGCTGAGCACAAATCGTGTTGTATATACATATAGTATAGATATATTTGTATGTATGTATGTATGTGTGTGTGTTAACTAACCGCAGAAAAAAAAAAACAGAAGCCAGGGCTTAGCTCTCGAATTGGACAGCATCTTTGCGCTGAGCCTCGCGTGCAGTCCATTAAATGAAACTTAGTTCATATTGTTAGGCTCGTTGGCGCGTGTCCTGCATGTCCTTCGCACAGGAGCCACTGTGCAGCGAGCAGCGAGCGCAGTTCTCTGTGTTTGCGTAGTAAATTAAATGATTTTTCGCGCCAGCTACGGCCACACCAGGCCACACACAGCAGGGCCTAGCCGAGCCGAGGAGCCGAGGGGCCGAGGAGCCGAGCAGGAGACTTGGCCCGAGCCGCGCAGCAGACCAGACCACGCCATGCGGTGCGTCCACAACATTTTTATGTGTTTGTTTGCGGCAACAGGAGCCCGGCGGCTGTGGATGATGCTGTCTGTGTGGCTGTCCCGGCTGTCCGGCGGGCCGGCTGCCTTTTTGGCAATGTTTTAACGTTAATTCATGGTCGTATTTTTATGTTGCACTCGTTGCGCGACGCCGGGCGATGCCACGTCGCCTTTATTGGCCCAGCGGCAGTGCTAAAGTGTTTACTAAATAAGCAGATTTCTCTTGTCTCTGCAGCAGGTCGTGGCGCGTGGCATGCGGCATGCGGCATGCGGCATGTGGCGTGTCGCGGATCGCAGGTCGCGCTAATGGAATGGCTTTCGCATGGCTTACCTGCGAGGCCCCCATCGGCCGGTTGACTTATTTAATTAAATCAACGCTGCGGCCGGCTTTAAAGCGCCCTCTAAGGCCCTAAGCTGCGGCTAAGTAGCCAAAAGGACATTGGCATCATGATGGCCCCCATTGTTGTTTAGTCTAACGACAGCCGCAAAGCCAAGCTGAACAAAGGCAATGGCTAAGCCAAGCCGTGACAGAAATAAGGCCAAAGACTGCTCATAAAACTTGCAAATTGCGGCCGCACATTGATGAAATGTAAAAACCCTCAAAAAAAAAAAAAAAAAAAAAAAAAAAAAATGAGCAGGAGAAGAAACATAAGACGGGAAAAAGTGGGAAACTGCTAGTGGGACACAGTTGCGGACACATGTTTCGCGTATCGCAGCTCTCATAAAAATGTGCAACTTGCAACAGTTGCTGCCATCCAAATGCGAATGAGCGACAACAGCGAACAAGTGACATGAAAAACTTCAGCCGAACGACGCAACGTGGCAGCCAAAAACGTTGCAACAACGTTGCAGCCAACTGTGAATGGGGCGCGTGACACGGCATTGGTAATGCAAATATATATATATATATATATATATATATATATATATATATATATAATCAATTTCATAAGGACATTATTTGAGCAACAGTTGGTTAACAATTTTTAATTTTTGTTTAATTTGTTTGAATATTTATTAATTTTTTAAGCGTTAATTTGACTTTGTACTTCAGTTGTTTTTTTTTTTTTTAGCTTCACTTTCAACCTGAATATTTATTAATGAGAGAGAATGTTTTATGTTAACTATTTTATTTTTCTTTGTCTGATAAAACTTGGCTTTAGTTTTAATTTTTAAAATTTTTTAATGACAGAATTTGACTGTTACTTATTTTTTTTTTGTCAGTAGAATTTGACCTGACTTTCAACCTAAGATTTTTTTTTTACCAACTTTTCATATTTCACATACTAACTTAATATACGAATATAAGTCTTTAAAATATTATATAATTTTAATTTTGTTTTTTTTTTTTTTTTAATGTACATAAGCTACACAAATATTGTGAATTTTCTTTCACTTAACATTTTTACATTCAAAATAATTTATATATATATAAATATAAATTTCTTTACACAGAGAATTCTTAACTTTACATCAATAAAAAGATTAAAATTAAGAAATTAAAATTATAAAATATTTAGAAATTATTCGCAGATTGACAAAATAATAGGCAAATTAATTTTTTAAATTTAAAAAAAAGGATATAATAATGAATATAAGTTACATAAAAAAAAAAACAATTCAAATTGAAGTTTAGAAATTTTCACACAAACATACATACATGTATTTATACATTCACAAATTATATTATTAATGTGAAAATAGCATACATACATACTATGCACACACACACACACTCACACATACACCACGGGCTTACACACACTACGAACACGCTGCCATCGTCAGCCTTTGGTTCTCGTTCGCCTCACAATGGGCAGCCGCTGAATGGCTGGGCGTGGCAATAACTTAACGATGCGCAGCTAGAAGAGGTGCAAGTGCGAAACAGGTGGGCACCGCCGAGAGCTGTTGGCCGGGTGGCGGCTGCAGAGGGTGGCTAAAATAAATCTTGCACAATAAGTTTTGGCGATGGCGTCAAAACGCTCAAAGCGACCAAGCAACAACAACGACGTCGGGCAGCAGCAGCAGAAGAAGAAGAAGATGAAAAAGCATAGCATAGCATCGCATGGAACAAGAGCAACGCAAATGACACGAGCTCAGGGAGCGAGCGGCAGAGCGGCAGAGCGCGCCGACAGGCGGCTGCCTGGCAAAAATAGCCTTATCAGTTCCTGTTTCCTGTCGAAAGTTTTCATATTTTTGCGCGTGGCTGCAGCAGCGACAGAGCCAGCAGCAGCAGCAGCAGCAGCAGCAACAACAATGGCAAAAGTAAACAGCGCGCTGAGGGCGAAAGCAACACACGGAAAGTGTTGCCACATTTTTTCATTTTTTTCTTCTTCTTCTTTTTTTTTTTTTTTTTTGCAACATTTGATTTTGCAAGGTTCACTCGCACCCGCTCCCCATGCCCGCCGTCGTGTCCCGCCTTGTTGGGCAACTGTGGAGCATAACAGCAACCACAATAAAAAGCAGGAAATATTTAAACATTTTTCTTTTAGTTTTGCATGAAACGGCTGCGACGTCGACTGCGCCGCAACCATTTTCACACTTATTGTCAGATTTTGCTTTGTGTTTTGCCTTCGCCGTCGCCGTCGCCGTCGACGTCGCCGTCGTTTCACTGTGAAATGACGCACAGCCGAGATAACACGTCGCACTGGCAAAAGCTGCAACAATTTTTATGTTGCAGCTGTAAATGTGGTCGACACCAGACACCCACTGTCAACCGGCCCAGAGCCCAACGACCCACCAACCCACCGACCCACCGACCCACCGACCCACCCCCAATGGCCTGCCCCCTCCAGCTGGTGCCACAAGTCTTTGCCACCAGCCGTGGCGCATATGTTGCTCATATGCCTGCCAAACGCTCAATTTGTTTTCCCTTTTGTGTGTCTCTTTGTGTGTATGTGTGTGTGTGTGTGTGTGTGTGTGTTTCTGTTTGTGTATTAATGGCACTCTTAAATTTACAGGATATACGCATAATTTTGCAAACGGACAATACGCCTGCCTGTCACGCCCACTTGACTCACGCCTGAGCTCGCCTTTACCACCTTGACAAAATTTTCCTTCGATACATTGAGAAAGCTGTAAGCCGCAACTGAATACGAAGTATGACTGTTAGTCGATGCCGTAGTCGGAGTCCGTTTTGGATTCGGAGTGGCAGTCCGGTTTGGATTCGGAGTCAGAGTTGGAGTCGGAGTCCGAATGTGCGTCGCAATTTGGGTCGAAATATGAGTCGGAGTCGGAGTCCCAGTCGGAGCCTGAGTCCCAATCGGAGTCTGAGTCGTAGTCGGAGTCGGAGTCGGAGACTTAGTCGAAGTCGGGGAGTTAGTCGGAGTCGAAGTACGAGTCGATGCCGTACATTTAGACGAAGTCTGAATCGTTTTACCCGAAGTCGGAGTGTGAGTCGAAGCCTGAGTCGGGATCGGAGTTGGACTCGGAGTCGGAGTCTGAGTAGAAGTCTCAGTCCAAGTCGGAGTCCAAGCCGGAGTCCAAGTCGGAGTCCAAGTCGGAGTCCAAGTCGGAGGTCAAGCCGGAGTTCAAGCCAGAGTTCAAGTCGAAGTCCAAGTCGGAGGCGGAATGTGAGTCGACGTCGAAGTCGAACTCGGTGGCGCAATTTGCGTCTGAGCCGAGTTCGGAAGCGGAAATTCAGCCGAGCTCTTAGTCGGATTCGAAGCCCGAGTCCGAGTCATACTCTGGGTCGGAATCGAGGCTTTCTATCGATAATAATTGACAGTTTCAAGCAAACCTTTTATGCTGTGAAAGCAAAATATTTTTGATCAACTTATTTTGTTTATTTCAAACTGTGAAATGTTTTGATAAAATATTTTTAAAATAAACACGTTGTCACATGACATTTGTATGTCAAATACAGCAGAAGCCTAGAAAACATGTTAATCACAGCTTTGCCATGGGTGCAGGGTGTTCTCACTGAAGCTTACGTAATTGCATCCATGTGGACCATGTAGTCTAACGGATAGGGCGTCGGACTTCGGATCCGGAGGTTGCGGGTTCGAGTCCCGTCGTGGTCACTAAGGTGTAAAGAGCCTTTCTTTTTTAGTATATCTGAATCACATTCATTTGTGAAAGAGGAAGAAAACTCAGCGCGTTTTCTTTGCCGAGGCGTAGATGGAGAAAGCAAGAGAGGAGGCAGAGAGGGTGGGAAACTGACTTGAAAATTGATATGTAATGCGCCTTATATTTACATACTTATGTATAATTTATATATTATTATTATAATGATATATATTTACAGATTTTTAGACGCCCATTAGGGGTGTGACAAATGGGTAAGTGCAATAGATTTTGTAAAGATTCGAAATTTGATATATAAACCATCAAATATACATTTTTAGTATTTTTGTGAATTTCCATTGTGAATAGCTTTGGTGCTGCTAATATCTTAACTTTGCCTTTCAGATGGAATGGAATATCCTTCTTACAATATTTTTCTAGTGACAATCTAGTTGAGTATCGATGGCACTAAAGTAACATATCGATAGATTTATAGCTTAGGATCGATAATTAACTCTGTATTACATCAGTAACTATGGTTAGTGATTGCATATAGATCATGCATATAAGCACCTTTAAGCCTTTCCACCCAACAAGAAAGAATATTGCTAATATTATTTGCCAAATAATAAAATTTGACAAAAGTTTTTATTGAATTTGCTACAGTATTTGATTTGCTCACTAAATTAAATTTGGGTTTGTTTATTCAGGCTAGAGGTAAAATATTTGTTTAGATTTTTGAAAAGGTGTCCATATCTACTATGTCAGCAGGCACATACTAAGCTTCACTCTTTTTATACCCTGAGCCCAATCAGGAAATTAGGGTATAATGGGTTTCTTGAAGTTTATGTAACAGGCAGGCAGGGGGCGTAACAGAGCCCAAAATGTACGTATACAGTGTGTGTCACTGAAAATTGTACAGCTAAATTTCGTTGTTATTTGATTTTAATATGAAGTAAACATTTTAATGTTAACCATGTTCATTTTTAAATATTTTTCTAAATTTGTTAACAATTTTTATTATCCATAAAATGCTTATTCCATAGATGATGATTTTTCACGTCTCCTCCCTGATTTCCTGAAGTAACATTTTATATATTTATTATTTATTTACTTAATATTTTTATATGCATACATATGTGTATAAATACATATATTTTTTATTTTCATAAGCAAATGTCAGTGTTGGTAAAGGTGTTGCACTTCGAAGAGTACGTAGATTCTGATTCGGATCCAGGAACTGCTTTGCTTTAGAATTTTTTTTTTTTTACGTTTTCTTTTCGTTCTTATTTTTTTTACTTACTTTCCATTCAAATTAAATTATAGCTAATTTTGCATAAATTAAAATAAGCTGAGTTATTTAAAAACTCATCTCAAACGCAGTGCAGAGGATCTGCTAGCCGACTAGAACTTTTGTACTTGATCGCAATGATTGTTTTGATTTCTGACAAAGTCTTCATATCTATGCCAGCTAGTGGAGGAGACACTAAACTTCCATCTTTTTCCCTCTCTCTCTCTCCTATATTTTTTTTTGCATATGTTTTACAAGTTGTTTTGTTTTGGTCTGTGGCACGTAGAGTCTGAAAGTAATTGTGGCAATATGTACTGCCAGTTATTGATATATATATATATATATAACATATATAAATATATATGTATATGTGTTTGTATGGAGCTGCCTATGTGAGCCTTTTGACAATAAGTTTCAGTTTCTAGCATGTGTATGTGTGTGTGTGTGTGTGTGTGTGTGAGTATCTGCTGTGTGGGAGTAATACGAGTAACACTTATCAAAAGTTTGTTGCTAACACATGCAAATTGAAATGTGTGACTACACCCACACACACACACACACACACGCGCACTCACACAGTTACAGCTGCTGGCGGCACATTGTTGCCAGCAGTTTGGCACACGTACAGAGTACATGAGTCTGGCGCACACGTGCACGTAAACATAGGGCACAAAACGTACCCCCACTCACCTGGCAGGAGTAGCAGGAGCAGCAGGAGCAGCAGCTGCAGTTGCTGCCACTGCGGCTGTGTAGCCTGTGTGTGCCTGCTCCACTCATGTACATGTGTGGGTGGTCCGTGTCTGCGTTCGTCTTCGAGTGCCTGGCCTCTAACTTCCGCCTGTTTTAACACCTAACAACCAAGAAACCAACAACTTGCGCTGCCGCTGCCGCTGCTGCTGCTGCTGCTGCTGCTGCCGCTGCTGCTGCTGCTGCATACTTATTATAGCTGCAGCATGTGTCTCTTTGTTGTTGGCTGGCAACACTTTTCCAAAATCCAAAATTCACCCACAAGCTTCTAGTGCGTGTGCTTGTGTGTGTGCGTGTGTGTGTGAACGTGTGCGGATTTCAACATGAGTTTTAGAAACAAAAGTTTTTGATTTCTTTGTTCAGCTCGCTGTTGTTTTTGTTGCTTTCTTTTTAATGTTTTTTTTTTTTTTTTTTTTTTGGTTTCTTTTGTCACAGCAACTTTTTATTGGAGCAGCATATGCGATGCTTTGCAGCTGCAGCGCCCACACACCGCCACGCCCCCAGCCACCCCCAGCCGCCCCCAGCGGCTCTGTCGCCTCCATTTGTACCTTTTGTAGTTGGCATAATTGCAGCTTTTGGAGCTGTCAAACTTTTGCATACGCACTTTGATTTCTTTAGATAGAAACAACAACAACAACAACAACGGCCAAAAACTTGTGTTGCTAACAACAAACAAAGCGGCAAAGGCAAGCAAAGGGAGGGAGGGAGAGAGAGAGGGTGGCAGAGAGGGAGAAAGAGAGAGAGAAAAAAAAACACATTTTAATTGCATATCTGCGGCGCTGCTGGCAGAGGCTGAGCTGACAGCCTCACAAAACTTGCTCCATTTCTAATTGAGTTACATTTATTGCCGAAAGCTGGCCACGCCCACGCGCTAGATGCGCCCTAAGTATATTCGTAATTTAATATGAGTGACATTCGCTGTTCGCTGACAAGTTTAATACCTCAGCTCACCCCACCTCAGAGTCAGTCCGCTGCTCCGCCCCTCCCTCTGTTTTCCACCCCCTCGTCCCTCTCACGTCACGACTATCGTCTATTGGATAATTAAGCCACTTGGCGACAGGTTTGACAGCCTTACTTTGAATTGTCAGCTCCATTGGTTGAGATGCAGACGTTGATGCTGCCGTTGCTCCTGCTACTGTTACTGCTGCTCCTGCTGCTGCTCCTGCTGCTGCTCTTGCTGCTGCTCATGCTGCTGCTCCTGCTGCTCCTCCTCCTGAAGCTTCTCCTCCTGCTGCGGTATTTGTGGCTCACGTTGCGGCACTGTGCGCTCAATTTCATTTTGGACGACAACTTGAGATTGTCGATTGGGCCGTGGACATGTTTTTGGCTCTTGGCTGCTGGCCTTGTCCCTGGCGGCGACTCGCGCCTGACAGCGCCTGACCAAAAGTTGAAGTTCAATTAAATTTCAGTTTTGCAGCTTTTGTTATTTTTGTCATTTGCAGTTTGATCGGTTCCTGTTTGCGGCCATTATCTATGGGGACATTGAGAAATTGAAAATTATGATGCTGATTCTGATGCTCACGCCGCTGTGGCTGCTTCCCTCTCGCTCTGGCTGACGCTCTCCCCGTCCCAGTCGCGCACTGTGGATTGTTTCTGCAGCGCTGATTGCAAAATGCAATTCGCATTAAAAACTTTCAGTTGGCCAAGTTGTGGGCAAAAAGTTTTTGGCATTGGGTTGCATGATTGACGCGTTCGCCTGGCCTGGACAATTGCAGTTGCAGCTGCAGCTTAATCTATGGGACCTGCCACATTTGGCAAAGGGCAACAGAGAAAGAGGCAGCGACAGAGAAAGAGACAGAGACAGAGAGAGTTGTGGCACAAAAAGGACTTGCTGCATCTGGTTACATCAGGCATTCACTTGCGGCAGTTAATCAAACAGTAAACGGCAGGCTTTCATCTACCTTTTTGGGCTGATGATGATTAGGCCTTTGCCTGATGCCTGATGGCTGCTGCCAGCCTGAGTTGCATGATAACCGACAAGCAAGCAGGGAGAGAAAAAAAAAAAAAGGAAGCAAATGAAAAGTCGAAGCAAATGCCGAAGCGCTTGGCTTGTGTTGGTGGCACACCTAAGGCAGCCGGCCGTGTCTGAGTCAGGCGCCCAACCGCGTTGCCGCTTGCCGCTTGCCGCAAACCCAAGCCACCAAATGCCACCACAGCTTGTAGCAATTGTCGTACCATTTGTCAGAAGCACGCGTCGACACTCCTCCCTCGCGGCACGCTGCGCATGTGCCGAGGGCCGCAGTGGTCCGACGCCTCGCCGCTGCCATCACCAAGCAATGGAGTCCACCACGTGCTGGCCGTGTGGACGGCGAGTGGCACATGGTGGATGCCATTCGTTTCGAAAATCCACTTCGACAATTGGCAACGACGTTTCGCAGCTCGTCCGTTCGGCAACCAGGCTCGGCCGTCGCCAGCAGCCAGCATCCAACGGCCGTGCAAACGACAGCCACAGCCGACGCATGGCCAACCACCCGAGCGGCAGTTCGGCTCGCCGCTCGGGATGCTGTACGGCCGCCAGCGATGCTGCTGCGCTTTCAGTCGATCGACAACGTTCCCAACAGCCAGTTGGCTTCACGCAGCACAACAGACACCGGCACACACACTCACACACACACACACAGTGCTAAACAATTCATTTAAAGATACGCGTGTGTCTCCGGGTTCCAATTATCACCAATAATACAGTAATGCGTGCCCGTGTGTGCTAACTACCTATATATATACTATATATGTATATATCTTCTTTTTTTTTTATTGTACTCAACTGCATTTTGTGCTAGTGTGGAAATAATGTTCATGTGCAACGCTTGAATTGCCCAAATGTCTGGCCAGAGCCAGAGTCAGAGCTCAGAGCAGATATTGTCGAAACTCTCAAGGAATTGCAATCCGTTAATCAGCACAGCTTAAGAGCCAACCATCTATATCAATCGAGGGTAAATGCGCATCATCTCAAAGCTGCAGCTGTATCGCTTCTATCTCGTGCTCATCGATCGCAATGACAAAATGCTGATCGCTGTTCTGTTGATAGTCGCGCTCGTCGAAGGTAAAAAATCAATTCATTTCAATAAATTTAGTCTACTTTAATCTATATCTTGATTATTTATTTATTTTTACTTTTTTGAGATTGTGGCATTATTTTTTTTTTTGGTTATCACTGATTAAATAATAAATATGTTGATGTGAATTTATATAGAAATATAGAGTCCAATCAGTTGAACTTATCGGGGTTTCATTGAATATAATATTCTCTAAGACTAATAAGTAAACTTTACTTTCATTTCTTAGTTTTTTTTTGAGCATTAAAACGAAAGATTACAGTTATATATAAAATATGTGTTTCATAAATAAAATAAATATTTATATTTGTATTAAATATGTTGCTACGTTCTTGTGGGTGGAGATATATTCCCATCAATTTTCAAGATATACATTTTAAAATATATGTCAAAAAATACTTATCTTTTAAAAAATGAAGAATATATTGATATATAAAAAATGTAATAAAGTTTTTTTTTTTTTTTTTTTTTTTTTTGTAACTCTATATTCTTATGGGAACAATATAGTTTTACAGTTTAAAAAAAAGTATGATAGTAATGAAAGGATTTATTCCAAACGTTTGTCTTTATTTTTGAATATGACTATAAAAATATACAAAATATAATAAGAAATATAAGTTTGTTAAAGTTAAACTTGAATTTCTAAACTTACGATTTACTTAAACTTTATTCATTGATTAAAAGTTTATATTTTTATAAGAAAAAGGCAGTGCGAAAACACAAGTTTTTATATCAGCAATGAAATCAAAGATAATTTTGAGAAATTTTGCATTAAATATAATCAACATAAATTAGTGGCTTTGGGAGAAACTGAAATAAATAATTATAGCTAAATATAAAACAATATAAAATACAATGCAAAAGAATTTGAAAGGGACTAAAGCTATAAGAAGAATATAAAGTAAAATTTTAAAAATAAAAATATATAAGTATTGTATATTGATCATAATTAAAAAAAATATATTTTACTTAAATTTTGTTTTCCAAAATTTATTAAAAATTTAAAATAATCAAAAATATTATGAAGAGAGAATAATATTATGTTAAAAGGAAAATGCTTTGGCTTTAGGCCTTTCCTCTATTTGGCGCTTCTTTACTCTTCGATAATGGTCAAAAAATGATTATCAATATAGTAAATGTAAATTAATTATGCATCTGGGTCTTAAATAAAGCAATTACTTTTGATGATTACTTTCAGATTTTGATAGTTTTTGAGGCAGCAAAAAGTTGAGGAGTAACCAAAAAATTTGTATTAAAAATTTGTGATAAAGAAAGTATTGAAAATGCTTTTAACTATTCACTTTTCATTTTAATAGGTAAACAATAATAAAGACCAAATAGTGATGCAAAAATTTAATTCATTCTACAAAATAGTATATCCAAAAGATTTTGTTAGCTTTACTTTAGTGTGGCTTAAGTTAGTTATGATTTCAAATCTTTGCAGCTCATATATATACACATACATATATATATATATATATATGCATATATGCTGTGCATCAAGTGCATTACTCTAATAAACCAAATTGTAATATAAAATCAATAATTATATGCAAAATGCGCTATCATTGTTCTGTCCGATGGCCACTGTTGGCGGGATTGCGATTGCCATTGGCACTTAGCAGTGTAAATAGCACATAAATAAACAAATAAATTAACAAACAAATAAATAAATAACAAACAAATAATAAAAACGAAGTGAATGGCAAAAACAGAAATCGACAGCCAAAGACAACGAGAATTTTTTTTTTTTTTATTATTATTATTAAAAACAGCCTCCAAAGTCCGTCCGATCGTCCGTCAGTCTGGCGGTGACACCAAACCAAAGCAACCCTCATTGCCAACATCTGTACAGACCGATTTACCTTTTGATTTAATTGCACAAAAATTACCTCCATTTTTTTTCTTCTTTTTTTTTTTTTTTTTTTTTTTTTTTATCCGCGTTTTATCGATGCCTGCGGCTGTGTGCAAAAGTAATTATTACAAATGAAGTTCACCAATTGATTTTATATCACTACCGAACACTTACCATGCGAGATTGTTAAAGCACAGATATGCATATATAGCTATGCATATAAAGCTATATATACATATATATACTTATAAATATGTTTATATTCAAGACTCTTTAACATAAAGCTGCGCTAATGGGCCTATACATGGAGGTAAACACTGTCCTTGACGGGGTTACATACGGTTTCATATGTTAAATATTTGTTTCAATTCAACAAAAACTAATATACTTTCCAGTCAATATGTGAACGAGTATAGGCATTGTTTGTTAATGGATGACTCGAGCACAACAAAGAATGCCCTTTTTTAATTTTAAACTCTGTTATTGCTTGTGCTATTTAGATCAAAACTAAAGAAAATTCAGTCAGAAGAGAAAAATAAATAAATTGATATAAATACATAACAAAACAAATAATAAGTAAAACGAAATATTTGAAAAAGAAAATGAAATGCCAAAGGTCTCATAAATTTATGATTAAAATTTTGCCATTTCTTCGATTTATAAAATTTACACTCTCTTGAAGCTACTAATTAATGTTTTCACTCTCAAAAAAAAAAAAAAAAAAAAAAAACGAAATAAATAAAAAAAAAATGAAAATTAATAAATAAAAAAAAAAAAATTAAAATAAATAAATAAAAAAAATAAATAAATAAAAATAATTAACTAATCAATAAAATAACTCCATATCGTTTCTAGTCTCAGTTTGCAGAAATAGACGGCTTAAGCTTTTGCAATGCGTTGTCAAAATACTTTTGTGCACCACTGTTTATATATGCTCACAACTCAAATTTGGCGGCTTGATTTATATTTGATGGCAAATTTAATTTAAAAATACAAATATTATATACTAGTACAGTATTTCTCAGTTATATTTGATTTTCTTCCATAATAAATTGAATTGGTATACAAGAAATAGAAAAAAAAATCGAAACCTTCTTTTGATTCAAATTAAATTCAAAGAAATTACAAAATATTAAAATATAAATTCCAAAATATTTTAAATATTTAAACAAGTTTAATTCAAATATGAGCAAGGTTTCCTATAGGGTTTGCCTGTCCGTCTCTCCCAAAAGATATAGAATTGCCAAATGGGTATGTCGAATATGCACAACCCTACATATATGTATATTTTTTCAAACATTAATTTCATAATTCAATAATTCAAACTCTTGAAAAAAAAAAAATAAATAAAATGTATATATATATATATTGCACCAGCAAGCAAATCTTCTGTTTTAAAGCGAGTATTAACAATATTGAAGCAAGCAATTTTTTCAAAAATCAATTTTATCTTAATAAACTGCAATTAAATGCTGTGCATTGTAATCGGCCCTTAAATCATGTTCAATTAACTGCTCTTTTAGATAAAAAAAATAATAATACAAATTAAATCAGGGGAAAAAAAAAAAAAACAAAAAAATGAGAAGAAAAACAGAAACAGAAAGCAGGAAAGTAAATGTATGTGAATAATTGGCAGATGAATAAACGGCATAATGAGCAATGGGGCAGTGCATAATTATTATATAGATATACATACATATATATCTGTATGTTTATATATATAAATATATGTGTGTATTTGTGAAGCATGAACATAAAATTGAAAAGTGCGCTTAAATCTCGGTAAACAATAATTCCCCAGTGATAATGATGCAATGCGAATGCGTTTGCGAATATATTAAGCGAGGCATCCAGGCAGCTAGCCATCCAGGCAGCCACCATGGTTCATGCCACATGCCACAGCGCCGGTTGCCAGTTGCCAGTTGCCAGTTGCCCGTTGTCCGTTGCCCGTTGTAATGGCCACTGATAATGATAAGCATAAAAGTGAAAATAATTTTCAATTACAGCAACATTAATAACCGATAATAATCCTAAACAAATATTGCATGAGGTGCACAGAGGAGAGAGGGAGTGGGATAGAGAGAAAGAGAGAGAGAGAGAGAGAGAGACAGTGTGTGAGTGTGCATATCAATGAAATGCAAATTAATTGCCCAGCATGTGGCTGCAATTGAAAACGTGAACTGAGCAGCCATAAATGATAAGCTACTTGCCCCACGTGCCCCGCACGCGCATGGCAGCCAGAGATCGGACGCACTTTAAACAAATACGCAATGTGCATTAATAAACTGTAAGCTAAACCGCAATATATTGCACAGGGACGGGCAGCCGGACAGACGGACAGTCGGACGAACGGACTGGCAGAGCTTTTGGCACTTTGTTAATTCTATGCACTCCGGCCGGATTGTCCCTCGGGTATCTTAATTGATACGACTCCATGGCCAGTTCAGGTCAGGTCGTGTGGCTGTGGCGGTTCTTTAGCTTTTAGAGTATGTGACCGCAGTCAGCCGCAAGCGGACACCCACGCGCCACTGAACCACCGCGGCGCGCCGCCTCTCACGCCCCTCACTCTGCCCTCACTTGCCTCACGAGCTGTTTCATCGAGTTGGCTTGCGCTTACCGCCACTTATGCAGCACATTGCTGCACAGACATATATGTATATAAATACATACATATATATATATATATATATATATATATATATATATATATATATATATATATATATATTGTAATATGTATTAAAGGCTTAGCTTAAAAAATAAAATAAAAGGTCGTGCAAGTTTTGTCACTAAGTACTTTACAACCAACACCAATGCACACACACACACAGACACACACACGCACGCTCACTGCATGTTGCACATAAAAAATGAGGGGGAAAAAAAAGAAAATGAAACCTTAAAGTTTCGCTTTTAGCATGCGCGCAGCTTCCATTTAGTTTAAATGCGTGCTTTACTTTGGCTGTATTAAATTAAAAAAAAAATATATTTATATATAAAGTGTTGAAACTGAAAAGTTTTAAATACCTAAAATGCTTTTTCTTCGGCTATTTATATAGTAAATCAAGCTGCTTGTCTTCAACAAAATTGACAACTAAATGATTAAAAAGAGCTGATCTCTCACAGCTCCCA